AGAGTGATTATAGATAATATTAGTTTACTGGCTGGCGCCTCGCCTCACTAGGCTGATCCTCTGCCTGCGGCGCCGGCACCCCGGGTTCTAGTCCCGGTTGGGGCGCCGGGTTCTGTCCCAGTTGCTCCTCTTCCAGTCCAGCTCTCTGCTGTGGCCTGGGAAGGCAGTGCAGGATGGCCCAAGTGCTTGGGCCCTGCACCCGCATGGGAGACCAGGAGGCACCTGGCTGCTGGCTTCGGATCACCGCAGCGTGCCGGCAGTGGCGGCCATTTAGGGGGTGAACCAACGGAAGGAAGACCTTTCTCTCTGTCTTTCTCCCTCTAACTCTGCCTATCCAAAATAATAATAATAATAATAATAATAATAGTTTACTGTGTATTACTCTCTTCAAAAAGGATTTATTTGAAAGGAAAGGGAGGCGGGGGGGGGTGGAGAGACAGAGACAGAGAGAGAAACAGAGACAGAGATTTTCTATCTGCTGGTTTATTTTCAAAATGGCTGCAACAGACAGGTCTGGGCCAGGCTGAAGCCAGGAGCCAGGAGCTCCATCCTGGTCTCCCACATTGGTGGCAGGGGCCATTTCCTGCTGTGTTCCCTGGCACATTAGCAGGAAGCTGGACAGGAAACCGAGTAGCATGATCTAGAAATGACTCTCCAAAAGGGGATGAGGTGCCTCAAGCAGCAGCTTAATCCACTGTACCACAATGCTGGCCCTGACTATATATTTCTCCATTAAAAAAGCCCTAGAAGATAGGATTTTGGATGCTTTCATTACAAAGAAATGTTAAATGCTTGAAGGGATAAATATATTTACTCTGATTGGATATTACACAATGTATACATATAATGAAACATCACACAGTAAGCCATAAATGTGGAAAGGTTTTATAAATACATTAAATTAGAAATAAAGGAAGAAGAGAAGGAAGGAAGAAAGGAAGGAAGGATGGAAAGAAAGAAGGAAGGAAGATTAAAGTTCCTGCTACATTTAAGCCTGAAACGGGCAGTAGGCTGTTTTGACATCTGAGACTTTAAACACTGATCAATGAATCTAATTCTAAATTAATTATCTTTGGGAAGAACTACTGACATGTGCTGAAACTTAAATTTGTCTGGAAGGTTCTATGTTTGATTCAACTTGAGAAAAAAATTATTTTTTAAAAAATCTCTAATGGTGTCTGCCCATAGCATGTACTTAAAAGACTAGTTGAACTCAATGGTAAGAGAGCCAAATTAATGAACTCAACCAGTTTTCCTAGAAGTACATGGAGGCAGGATGGTTCTGGTGTGGGAGAGAGCACAGATGAACATGTAAAAGTCTATAATCATTCCAGGTAAAACAGTTCATGAGGCAGCAGCATTTGCTTCCCTTGCAGAGGGTAGCTATTGACCGTTGGTATGATTTGTACCTATTTTTCATAGGTTTAATAAATGTAGCATGGCAAAAGCTTTGAGTCCATTTCTTTTCATTATCAAGACAATCAAATGGGCACATACTAAGTGAGATGCAGTACAGAGAGAACTACATTCTCATTGGGACAGACATGGCACGTGGCCCAGCTGAGCATATTGGAGGAGGGCACAAAGCGCACTCAGAAGCAGAAATAGTAACTAGTAGTGTTCTTGGCATGTAGAGAACACACTCAACAGGAGTTGAATGAATAATAAATGAAGGAAGGAATTGCAAGGGCTCTTGGCTACTGATATCTCAGAAATTATCTACAGGTGTCTGTTTGTGACCAGCGTTCCCACTCAGGCATAGCTCTATGGAAGTAGGCATTCCCTCTGATTCGTGTCTAGTGCCTGAAATATTCAACTCAGTAACATATTTTTGGAATAAAGGAAAAAACATACAAGTAGAAAATATTTTTTACCTGGAGAAACTAAAGTTATTTACTCAACTTTGATCATAATACAACATACTTATTTGTAGACGTATGAGATGGATATGTTTACAAGGTGAGATAAATCCACATGAGTCCACCCAAGTCTTCAACAGTAAGGACTCTTCTTTTCACCTTTCCTATTGCACCTGGTTAAACCTTATGACCTAGGAACTGCATAGTTTATGGCTATGAATCAAGGAAATTCAAAAAAAAATTAAAGAAAAGGTATTTATCTTATTTTCCCCTTTTATTGGTAAGATAAGTTTATGTATTTTATAAAACAACATGTAGAGCACAACTGGAGGAAAATCTAGAATGGGATGAAAAATCTTAGAGCTCTTTAAAAAGAGTTACTATACAAGTATAAAAAAGCAATAAGAATACTTGTCTTTTGAAAGCAGTCTAGATTAGAAATCAACAGAGAGAATGAGAAAAACTTTACTTTTGCTCATCAAAAAATCAAACTAAAACATGTTTGTACTATCTTTGCAATAAAATTCAAGGGGTGCACATATAAACAAGAAAGAATAAGATTATATTAGAGGTCTATTAATGTATCAATATTTTTCCATAGCTGTATTTAAAAGGATGATCTATATAAACTTACCTGGCACAGTACTTCAAAACTAATTAATCATTGTGAAGGAGAATTTACAAGTTAAAAAACCAACAACCTCCTAACAATATTTCATTAAAGGCTTTAAATGTTCATGTTTTAACTGTAAACAAACATGTTAGTTCAGTACTACATTAAAATACTTAAAATGCATTGAATAAATTAGCAACTTTTTTGTATACTGATGAGGAAATACTTGAAAACAGGACTGATGTTGTATGGAATCAGCGAAACTTCTCCAGAACTCATTTATTTTTAAAGATCAGTTAAGCATTATCTTTGGGTGTGTGTCCATAAAATAATTACTTCTATATCCAACAGCACAGAAAAATTGATGGAGCCATCAATTTCAATTTTAAGTCCACTTTCTGTACTTGCATGAGAGTGGAAATGACTCCCTGACTACATTTCTGTACTGTTTTTTATCAGCCATGCTGAAACCAGTCTAACATACTCAGTTCCAGTAAACTGAGGATGTAGAAGTAAGTTTAGATCACATCTGCTGGTCCGCAGGAAGGGAACAGAGGAGAGTCAGGTTGAGCAAAGAAATGAGACCGAAGGTGTGCCTGGCCATGGACAAATGATGGCAAGAGAAGTTACTCTGAAAATAAAATATGACTGCTTAGTTGGTGACTTAAAGCAAACAACTAGATTTGGCTATGCCAAATTGGCCACTATTTAAGAGAGCAATGTGATCAGATATTTTATGCTACTATCTGAATTCCATAGATCTGAAATATATCACATACTGCAACATGGGTCACTCATTACAACTTGTTCTATTATACATTCTACTTTTATTACATTTTTAAATTTAAAAAAATTTTGATTGACACATAAAATCTATATACAATGTTTTGACTCATGTATTGATGATCAATTCAGGTAATGATCACCTCAGGACAAATAATATATCCATTATCTCAAATTTCTGTTATTTCTTTATGGTAGGTACATTCAAAATCCTCTCTTCTAACTATCTTGGGGTATACAATTGTTAACTACAGTCACTGCTATACCAGAGGCATACAACACCACATCCTGTTCCTCCTATCCAGATGTTTCTACCCCTGACCTATCTCTCCCTGTCATCCTTCCCCATGTCTCCTTAGTCTCTGGTAACCACTAAGATCTCAAACTTCATGAGATCACCTTTTTTTTTTTTATAAAATTCCACATATGAGTGAGAGACCATGTGGTGTTTGTCTTTTGTGTCTGATTTATTTCACTTAACAACATTTCCTTTAGGTCCATCCATGTTATTGCGAATAATAGGGTTTCCTGCTTTTTTATGGCCAAATAGTATTCCACTCTGTATAGATTTTTAATAGGTAATTTCTTCCCAAATTAGCCTATTTTCATAGGTCAAATATTCAATTCTATTTCTTATATGAAAAAAAAACTAGCTGCTTCTACATATTGAAATTTCATGTAGTAATGAGACTACTTTCCTAATTTATCAACTTTCTTCAACCCTAACTAGAGAATGTATATCTGTCAGCTTTAAGTTATCATCTTATAAAATATCTAATGCCATTTTCCACTTTATCAATAAAAATACTGACCACTAAGATTTGGAGTGGATTCCCTGCAAGGCTTTATTATAAACATCCTTTCTTAGCTTGACATAAAATCATTCAGTTCTCTGCATTTGACTTTCCTTGGTAAATTATTTACCCTTTCTGTGACAAAAATTACATAATCCAATGTTTTGATTTTTTTGTCCTAAAAATATACTTTGCAGACTCTTCAGTTCTCCATAACACAGATCTGTATAATAAAATGATCCATATGGAACCTCTACAAATAGCCACATTTAAAATGGATAAAAGGAATTCATTCACTGTGTTGTGGAGTGTGTTATGGTTTGTATGATCAGTTATTACATGAATGTCCTTTGAGGGTTAATTTCTAATGCTTAAGAGATGTCCTCAAAAAAGTAACAGTTTGTAATAGAATTCTCAATTGGCAAGCAAACACATACATACGAGTGGAATTTCCAAATCCTGTACTAGATCTATGATGACAATTAATGTTTGGCATAAAAATAATAAAAGTTTAATATTTTGCTTTCAAATAAAGGGATGACCTTATTCCATACATGACAAAATCATACCTAACATGAATTTTTCTAGCTGTTCTTTTTAATATATAAAGCATTTTATAGACAATATTTCTTTTGTTTCCTTCTCTCATAAGGCCTAGATTATGGTTAATATCTCATGACACCAAAAGTAATACTGCAACAGATATTAAAGCATTTTTTTCAGCCACTTATTCTATAAAATATTAATTGCAAGCCTGTGCATGGGCTGGATATATAGGGATTAGGTAACTGAGTTCCTGCTCAGTTCTAAATCAATAAAAGATAACATGCACAGCATCAATCATCGTTCACTCTTCCTTTAGTACATAATAACTGCAAGTGGAAGATTTTAAAAATATATATGTAAGTACTCATGGAGCTATTACAAGCTAGAGAGGTGAACAATACTTACCCAGGAAAGAAAGATTTTTCTCTAGAAGCAAGTCTCTCAGCAGGACTTCATGCTCATGACCAATGGCGCTGAGGAGTTTCAGTTAAGGAGGGGAATGCATACAAAATTACAGCACCAGGAAAATGTTCATTACCAGGTCTATACTTTGAGATGCAATAGAGAATCAGGGTAATTATAATAAACATTTCCACCTTTAAACCACATCTCTGAGGAAAGGGATTTCTACACGCATCTCTCGTCTCATTTAAATGATTCAATAGAACTTTCTTGTCATGCTTACACATATTCTGGAAAACAAAGATTTGAAAAGAAGCAGAGCTGTTTTGCATGTTACTCAATTCAATCAAGTACATGTTAACTAAGCACTTACAAGGGGCAGCAAAGAATGCCAACCAGCCTTTGCCCCCTATGAGTCTCCAACCTTAGAAACTTAGCATGGAGCCAGCATCCGGTGGCTCCTTGGTTTCACTTCCAATCTACTACTGATGACACTCTGATTTGGGAAGCCAGACAATCTAATTTTTGAGAATGTATGCAATGATAGATAGCTTGTAGAGAACTGCGGATTAGGGCATGGGTACAGAAGTTGCTTCAAGTCTTTTTATCATGGGTGTGCATGTATACACATAACATATATGTGCAAACAGATACACAAAGGAATACATAAATATCTGCACTGCTTACTACGTGGAAGACACTGTATTATACAACTTATGTATATTATTTCATCCTTACAGTCATTATAAACTGTATTTTATAGATGAGGAAACTGAAACTTAGAAACCAGCACAAGGCCAATTCATGGCGGCAAAGCAGACAGTGCAGATGAGATCTCTGCAAATCCTATGTTTATGATTGCCATACAGCTTCTTAAAAGGTATTAACATTATTTAATGATAACTGATAATAGCTAATTTTTCTCAAATACCAAGAACAAATTCTTTGTGCTGAGCACTTTGAGATAATGTTTTACTTAACCTTCACAATGGCCACGTGAGTAGACACTATCATCAATCCCATTAGAGTCAAGGAAAGCGAGGTGCAGGGAGGCTGAGGAACTTGCTGCAGGTCCCTTGGCTGGCTAACAATGAAATCAAGAATGGGACTAGCAAGTCTGGCCTATTTTCCAAAGGGAGGAGATTTCATAAAATCTGAAAAGGGGTGTTCTCCTATTCTGGTACTTCAGTTGAACAGAATAATTATGATCTGAATCATTATCTTCATTCTCCATTCCACTGATAACATCAACATGGTTACATCATTCCTTGGCTTACCAGAGACTGATGCTCTGCAGGATTGCAAGAGTTCAGGTTAAACCAAACAAAATTGATATCATTTGTAAAAAAAAAAAAAAAAAAAAAAATCCTACAGAATTATCTTGACCTTCATCCCTTCATCAACATATACATTTAAACTGGTGAATACTATTTAAATTTTTTTTTGGTTTATTATTTTTTTTATTTCAAGAGATGTGGTCATTTACATCCACTAACAAGTCAAGCCCTAAGTTACTCCTGCAGTCTTTGCATTCCTCCTGTTTTTATCTCCCCTCCACTGCACATATCTGTGCTTACTGAATTTCTAATTGGAAACCAAAAAAAAAAAAAAAGGAAAAAACTTTTAAATCATAGAATTTCTCACATTTTCAGAGTCCACTGAACACATCTGATGAATACCTCCCAATGGTCTCTCATTGTTAGGGGCATCCCACATTTTAGAACTAAATTATTTACTTCTATTCCACATAAATGTGCTCTCACTTTTATCGTTGTAAATTATTTACATCTAAAATGTTGAATCATGAAACTGAGGTTACTGATGGTACAGAAATGAAACCCACAGCATTTGAAGCTTCCTGCATCATTACCATTCCTTGCTCCTCCATTTAGACCTTTGTCTAATAGCTGTGTCCTGGAGTCAAAGCTTTACTAAGCTGAGGTGGCTGATTTCTCACATTTTTCCTATTGAGTATGAGCTGTGGAGCAAAAGGTGTGAGTAGGCAGGACTACATAGGAAGAAACAGAGCAGACACCAAAGGAAAGAGAAAGTACAATAACAACAGATACTCTTTGCTCCTATGCTTTTAGTAAATAAACAATTTACTTTATTCTACTTATCAACCAACAGGTAATGTTTTCATAACAGAGTAAAAGGGTTTTGTGCTATTCTTTTCATTAACTGTGTGCTTTCTTTCTTACAAAATAATGTGATTTACTAAGAGCAAGCAATGTTAGAACAACACACAAGCAACATTTTCACTCCCACGGAAAGCCAATCATTTTTATTTACTGTGAAATCAAATAATTTCTGTTGATCAGTCTAGGAAACATCCATGCAAGTGTATTTACATTATATGAAACTGCTACTACTTCAATGCAAAGATAAAGTCAGTTTCCCTATACTCTTTCCAGCCTATTTGATTTTGCATGGCAAAAGCAATCACCAGTTTAAAATTTTGGAAAGATACACTTCTTGATTATGCTTTGCTTGATGTAAACATATATAAAATGTGAGGTCCAGAAAATAAAGCTTGCAAAAACTATAATTTAACTGGCAATATGCAGAATAGAACTGCAAAAAATCTTATAATCTAGTAGTGAAGGCAATTCACAGACATACATCATTATCTTTATCAATTGAAATCATGTACTTCATTAAATTCTACTGGCAATAACACAGCCAAAAAAGTCAAGGAAAAGATGGCAACAATGTAAGGAAAATACTCCAAACAGAATTTATAATGCTCTATAAGCAGAAACACTTAGACTTTGTCTATAATAATACCTATTATTGATAAATGGCAGTGACCATGGGGCAAAACTTGTAAATAACCTCACAAGCCATTTTCTTCGCCAGCAATACAGCAATCTGGTTTCCCGTAAGCATCTCAACTATTACTGAAAAATCGCCTCCTGGCATTTACAAAGCAGTTGACTTCATACTTTAGTCCATGCATATATAATTAGATAGTTATATTTAAAATCAATATGCAATCCTTCAAAAGACATTATGCTTTTAAAACCTTAACTTTAAATTGATTTTTAACTATTTTATGTGCTTTAAAATTAACATGTAATTCAGCCCCAGATACTCTGAGATGGTGTTAGTTGTTATATGAGTGTGCTGAACTTTATCACTGTAGCAACATGAGGTTGGCACTCCTACAACTTCTAACACCATCATTAATTTTATACTGAAAATAGAAGCGCAGTTTCATCTGGGTTTAACAAAACAGCAAACTCGTGACAATATTGCACTTGTTATTAAAGTAATAATCTTGGGCACTGGATAATCTTGCAAGAGGGCTCTCTTACATGATTATTTTTCAAAGATTAGCTTTTATCTGTGAAAGTGAGTGGTTTTATTTACCGAAAATTTCACTGACTCAAAGCCTTTGTGAAACAAGGAATAAAGTGGAACATAAGCACACACATACATGCACGTGCATGCGCACACAGGTACACCAACATATTTGACTTGCAAGGGCTCTCAACAAAAATCTCCCTGAATGGCAATCAATGAGTCACAACTGGTCACAGTGCCATTTACGCTAATAGAACCTATGCAAGGAACAGTATGTTTTTATTATTAAGAGGTTTCAGACTCATGAGCTCCGCTAGAAATTATTTTCATAAAAATTACAAATTATTTGTCACTTAAATAATATTTTAGTCAAGGATGATCAAAACTGTTACTGTTGCCAACATTATTAAATTTATTGATGAATAATATCCTATGTCTTGAAATAGTTACTGTCCCCCCAATCTTGTTTTAACAAGTAACCATTATCTGTCTAGTGATCTCCATGCTTTCACTGAAGAATGACTGAACATCTGTTCTTCTAACCTTAAATTCAGTCCAGAGGAAAAAGTTAGGTTAGTTTCTCTAAATACATTTTTAGGGACCCAAATGATAGTTCAGATTATAATCAGCATTTAACCATTAAGAATCTACTGCCCTTTAAAATGTGATGGTCTCTGGCAGCATTTTAATTACGTCGCCCTTTAACCCAGGTTTCAAATTTTACTCCAGTGAACTCAACTGAATTTGGCTCATTTTAAATGGAACTTTACTATATTTTTAAAATGATCATAGGAATGGTTAGATACATTCCAAGGTGGTATGTTATCTGCCTAATGACTCTGTATCTTTAAACTCACTGAGAACCAAGCAGTTTGCAAGAAGCAGGTGAAACGCGCAACTGCTGAACTGACATCTTCCTGTGGCCAATCTGATTTTTCCTAAGCTCTGGGAAAAAATGGTCTGCAGTGACCCTCCAGTTGATTGAATGTAAAATAGAAGAGTATGAAATGTGTTTTGTGAAGCAGAACTTTATGTCAGGTTAAGCTAGACACATCTCCTCCACTGAGTCTAAGCTCGTCAATTGTGCACCTAAAATTTTATGGGAAAGGATACTGTTTGATGCAGTCCACCAGTGGTCCATAACAGCAGTCGTTCACAGTGCACTGCAGACAAATAAGAGAAGGGGGCTAGGGTGGGGCAACTGCAGGAACTATTATGGTAAACAATATCCTAAAAGCAGTAATTACTTTTCTCCCCATACCCCCCAAAAAAGAAAGCTATTAAAAGGCTGTTCAGATTTAATCACAGAAAACAAAAATTGCATGCTTTTTATTCACTATAAAAGCAAGCTATTAAAAAGTGAAATGCTCTTCTCACAAATATTGCATTGCCATTTATGGCGCACCCTGACCTCAGTGATAGTTTATGATGACAGTAATTAAATGAGGTTTAAAATCCTTTACTCTGCTAGGCAGATAACAGCATTGCCACTGAAAATAGACAGCTGTGATTAATACCTGATAGACCTGATTTGCTAGAACTCCATCTGGAATCTGAGAAGGGTCCCGTAGCATACTATTTATAACAGACTTCGAGGCTGCAGAAGAAAAGAGATGAACTATTAGCGGAGAGCCAACACACTTTTAATGCAGCATGAAAAGTGACATATACCTACATATACACAAACCATGAAAATGAAAATGTTAACTTAGTAATATTTTTTACACTTTTTGCATCTAAGGGAAGCTTTAAATTAGACCGTTTTGCAAAGTATATAAGCCACATTGCCAGATTTGATGATGACATCAGTTTTTTAAGGTAAATTAACAAGTGTAGTCCTGAAACATATGTGTCTGTGCAGATAAATTAGCATTGGAAAAAAAAAGCAACAAAAATGATGAGAAAACACTTACCTCTTGAAGGTAGGTATTTTATAACCAAGAATATGTACACAGGGAGCTTAAGTAGAGCAAACAAAATACTTCAAAGAAGTCGATAAAAATAACTTTTAACCCAATAAAGCATCACTGTATTCTAGACCTTTCCAAAATATTTCTCATCAATTGTCAAAAAATGTCCATTCAACAGATAAGGAAGGTAGGTAAAAATGAATGACAATTGAATTTTAAATAACAAAACACTTGTGTGGGTGTGGGTACACAGATAAGAATTTTTCACCCAAAATATGCATCATTCACTTACAAATCAAGCCAAATTCACAGAGAACTGTGATGGAAGAAGGGAAGTGTTAAGGGGGCATCTAATACAGGAAATTTTATCGCAGGACATCCTTTGAGTAGCAGGTAGGAGACCCCAGCTGCTCACTGTAGGCACATGGCAGCCAAGGTGGCCAGAATTCCTCTTGATGCATGGCAGGAATGCAAGCTTCCAGATGGGTATCATACAGGGGTTTCCTAGGAATCAATTCTTTTGGGTCCTCTAGTGGAATCAGTATCAAAAATCTAGCAACATGGTTCAGGGTCTGTTCCTCTGCATACTGAATAACTACTTAGTTAATAAAATGAACACAGACCACAGATCTACATTATTCAAATTCTGAGATGGTAAGTGGTCTAAGTTTTTTACATTATTGTTATGTTCTGAAGTTCAGTACCATAGGAACACAGACAAATACGATAAATGTTAGTAAAAACCGTGGAATGCAATGGGGAGATTACATCTTAGTCACACAGGCATAGTATTGAGTCCACAAACCAGAAATGAAGCACAAGTATGGTCTGTTGTTAGTCACCTAACTGCATGCTCACAGCAACATTTAGGTACTTAAGAGCCACTTGTAAACTTGTGTTTCACTGCACATGGAGAGATGTGAGAGACCAAGAGACATTCTAAGAGTATCGCTGGAGCTGCCCTCTTGGGTCCCATTTCCCCCACTGGCTCTGCAACCTGGGCAAGTTATGCAGCCTTTCAAGTGTAATGTCTTCGTCTGCAGAAAGTGATGGTATTATGTGGACTACCTGAAACGCTACTTTAGAGAACAGCCACAGTAGCGATTCCATCAGGGTTAAGTAATGATTAAGAACACAATCAGACTGAGGCATCTGCTTCACAGAAGCCGAGGTTGGATTCAATTTTATCTGAAAGCACCATGGATAACTGGTACAACTATTAGGAATGTGCAGCAGCAAACTGTCCTCTGGTAAAAGAAACTCATGGTAGCAACAGCACCAGATGGGCAATAATGTACCTAGGAAACTCATTTCGTTTTCTCAACTTGATTATAAGGCCTGGCCAGTGAAAGAAACCAAAGCAGTCACTGACACATTTAGTCACCTGGTCTGAGAGTACGTTCTCTGGTCTGCTGCTCAGTCCCCAGACAGGGCACCTCCATTCTTTTACGTTGCCATGACACTAGCAGAGAATCAAGGAAAGGGCAGCACCCTCTCCACATGTACCTGATCATGGCGACGGCGTTACACGGCCGACTCTCTCACATGAGGAAAGATTATGAAAACATAGAAGTGGCCCCAGAATATGACCACAAGTGCTCTTCTACAGAAAATTACTGACCTCATACCAGACTATATGCAAACTCATTGATAAATTAATAAAACAAAGGTTTTTTTTTTTTTTTTTTCCCCAGAGAAGACAGACAATAAGAATCCAAGACAAAAAAAGAGCTGGCAATTTTTTTTAAGGTGGTGGTGGGGGTAAGTATTAAAATAAGAAACTGATGGAACAACTTTCCCCACAGCATACATTTTATTTTTTATTTTATTTATTTGAGAGGCAGAGTTACAGACAGAGAGAGGGAGAGACAGAGAGGAGTCTTTCATCCACTGGTTCACTCCCCGAATGGCTACAATGGCCAGAGCTGGGCTGATCCGAGGCTGGGGGCCAGGAGTTTCTTCTGGGTCTCCCATGTGGATGCAGGGGCCCAAACACTTGGAAGATCTTCCATTGCTTTCCCAGGCCATAGCAGTGAGCTGGACTGGAAGAGAAGCAGCTGGGACATGAACCGGTGTCCATATGGGATGCTATGTAGCCCACTATATCACAGTACCAGACCTCATAGTATACATTTTAGAATAGTGTGCTCATCAGGATCAATAATCAGAGCCAAAAAACTTGTCTGAAAATAGTTTGAATATGTTGAATGGTACAAAAAAGCTACACACTCAGTCCATATTCAATTTAAGTGTAGCAAAATGGTTACTCTCTGCTTGCAACTTGGCATTTTTTTAGGGAAGGAGAGAAAGCTCCAATAGGATTATAAAGTATCAGCTCCAGACCCAGCACATACCTGCTGTCCACATGTGGCTGTTGCCACTAAGACTTCACAAAAGTCTGCCACTGTGTTGGAACAAATCAGAGTGCACACTTACTTTTATGCACATTTTCCGAAGCTTGGGCCATCTCAAAATGATGATGGGTGAGGTTGGCACTGTGGTGTAGCAGCCGCCTGCAGTACAAGCATCCCATACGGGTGCCGTTTGGAGTCTCATCTGCTCCATTTCCAATCCAGCTACCTGCTAGTGTACCTGGGATAGCAGCAAAGATGGCCCAAGTTCTTGGGCCCCTGCACCCACATGGGAGACTTGGAAGAAGCTCCTGGCTTCTTGGTTTGGCCTGGCCCAGCCCCAGCCGTTGTGGCCATTTGGGGAGTGAACCAGCAGATGGAAGATCTCTCTGACTCTCCTTCTCTCTAAATCTGCCTTTCAAATAAATAAATCCATAAAGAGAGAGAGAGAGAGAGAGAGAGACAGACAGACACCAATAGTCAACAATAGTCAAATAAGCCAGAAAAGTAAAGGCACCTGGACAATGCTGGGGTGCCTGGACAGAGGACCCTAGGAAAGCCTGAGCCTTTCACACATTGAAAATGTGTTCCTAGGCCACTTCTGGCCAGTTTGCATCCAGCTTTTCGGATTACACACGGACAGGAGTCCTGTTCTTCCTAACCATTCTGGAGGCATGAATTCTGTTGATTTCACAGTTTGCCTCAGCTACTGCTCCAACGGATGGGATTTGAATTTCTACCAAGCATGTTTTAAGCAGGAATGCATGAGTCACTTGAAGTTAAATCCACAAGAGAGAAGTGGTATCTGTGAAAGCACATTAAAGACAGGCAATAGGCAATGCCTGGGAAAAGGCATAATGGCTAAGATTGTCTTCTACTCATTGTGAAATATTTTGAATATAAAGAACCAGCAGATGGAAATCTCTCTCTCTGCCTCTGCCTATCTCTAACTCTGCCTTTCAAATAAATAAACAAATAAATCTAAAAAAAAAAAAAAAAAAGATTTAGGGCCGGTGCTGTGGTGCAGCAGGTTAACGCCCTGGCTTGAAGCGCCCCCATCCCATATGGGCACCAGTTCGATACCCGGCTGCTCCACTTCCGATCCGGCTCTCTGCTATGGCCTGGGAAAGCAGTAGAACATGGCCCAAGCGCTTGGGCCCCTGTACCCATGTGGGAGATCCAGAGGAGGCTTCTGGCTCCTGGCTTTGGATCGGCGCAGCTCCGGCCATTGCGACCAGTTGGGGAGTGAACCATAGGATGGAAGACTTCTCTCTCTCTGCCTCTCCTCTCTCTGCGTAACTCTGACTTTCAAATAAATAAATAAATCTTAAAAAAAAAAAAAAAAGGACTCATGAACATAATATTAGGAAACTTCAAAAGGTTCATGGAAAAATGGGATTAAAAGATAATGTACATTTTCCATGATCTTTGGAGACCTGCTCATAACAAATATCCATGCATCTACCACCCCAACTTAACTTAGGAAGCCGTAGTAAATTTAGATAGGATATTATTAATTTTTGCAAACGTTCTTTTTTCATTTATTAGTCTTGCTAGAGGTTGACTTACTTTACCAGTATTTTCAAGAAATAGGATTTTGGCTCTACCGCACCATTTTTTCCAATTTCATTTAATTTATCCTTTCTCATCATTAATTCCCCATTTTCTACTTCAAGTTTACTAAATTATTCTTTTACTAGCTATTGTTATAATTTATTTAAATCTTTTACCATATTTTAAAAAATTATCTGAAAGGCAGAGTTACAAAGCAAGAGAGAGGGAGAGATATCTTCCATCCACTGGTTCACTCTCCAAATGGCTGCAATGGCCAGAGCTGAGTAAGTCTGAAGCCAGGAGCTAAATTGGAAGTAGACCAATCAGGACTCAAACTGGCAACCATATGGGAGGCTGGCATTGCAGGCGGTGACTTTACCTGCTACACTATAACACTGACTCCTATTTATTTATTTAGGGAGGCAAAGAGAAAGATAGTAAGAGTGAGCGCTTCCATCCATTGGTTCACTCCCCAAAGTCTGCAATGGCTGAGGATGGCAAAAGACAGGACTCAATCCAGGTCTTTCACAATGGTGGCAGCAACCCACATCCTTAAGAAATCACAGTCGTTGTTTCCCAGGGTCTAAATTAGCAAGAAAGTGGAATCAAGAGTAGGACCAGGTATAGAAGCAAGGCAGTCCAATGTGGGACACAGGAATCCATAGTGGCTTCTTCAACACTCAGTCAAATGCCTGTCTCTACATCTAGTGCTTTTGTAGTCCTTTGAAAGAAAAATTTAAACTGAATATCTCATCTCTTTCTGTACCTGCTTCATCATTCTG